GTCCAGTTCACTAAAATTGTCGATTATTAAAGAGAAGGAAGATTTACTTATTTCGAACTCCGTTTCTGGTTCCAATTTTCTGGATTCTGCATATGTTTCAAAATTGTCTTTGGAGCTGATATAAGAGGCGAATATCCAAATGTTGCGCTCTTCACACCTGCGCCAAATTTCTCTGGTAATTTTATTTAAATTTTCAAATTGGATAACCCCCATTTTATTAATGTATGAAATGGCTGTCGTGTTATCAATTCTATGAAGGATGTTACAATCGCGATATTCTTTAGCGAAACATTTAAGTCCAAAAAGGGCTGCTTTTAGCTCCAAAAAATTAATACAGTGTTGACGCTCATCGGCTGACCAAAAACCGTTTGCTTACATCATTGCATGGTCACCAGGTTTCCCTTTTTGGTGTTTTGGCGTGTGATCACCTAGATCGGTGAAACCTTCAAATTTTAAATTTAATTTATTAAAACTTAAAGCCTTTGTTAGCTTCATCTCATCAACTAGAAGGCATCCTGCAAAATAAACAATTAATAATTGCATGTAACAAAAGCTAATAATTATAAATATACTCTTACCGTGCACATCTTGCGATGACATATTTTTTGTTTTTATTTTGATACCTTCAAATACGCTTTTTTGAAACCCGTATAGACTTTTCATAAATTTCATATACTTATTTAAAGTCTGTTGACAGGGAAGAGCTAAAATATTTTTTTTCGAAGATGTTCATAAGCTTTACTGCTTTTTATTCTTAAAAGAAGACATTCATACACCCACTCCGACTGATACCGCCTACCCTTGGAGCTTTTGACTTTAGAAGCAAATATTATTGCTTTCACAGCTTGTTGCTGATTTTCGGGTAACTTAGCGATTAAGTCGTTAACAGTTTCTTCCTTAATTTTAGTGCAATTATATTTAAAATCTTCTATTTTATTTTTAAGGCTTTTAATCTGTATGAATGGAATAAATTTATGTGTTTAATAATACAATTATATATCAATGTTATTTTTAAATATGATTTATTATTTTGAATGTAATAGAATAACTCACATTGTCTTTATTAATGTTACTACTATTCTTACTTTTCTTACTATATCATAAGCCTCGTATTATACGACTTTTTTCGACTTATTTTTTACAAAAGTTTACAAAAAATAGTTTTTTTCGGTATAAAATGCATTTTGCAATCAAATATATTTTTAAGTTTAATTTTTGTCTATAATTTCTAATAAATTCTTCAATTATTTGAAATTAAATTATTTTCAAAACTTTAAGTACAATATCTTTTAAAATTCAATTATTTTCAATATGAGGCAAAATTCCTGAAATGTCCGAACAAAAAATTAAATTTCTCGAATTTAATCCATACTTTTCTAAAATGTTGTTATTGTTGGTGAAAGTCTAAAAATCAATTATTATTGAATTTAATAAAATAGTTTTTGAATTACAACGTTTTTAAGGTGGAAGGGCCCACGCAGTAAGTCAAAAGCAAACTTTTTTTTTCTAAAAGTTGAAAAAAAAAGTAAATTCTATTATGTAAAATAAAAAATCATATTTTCAAATAATTTTTTTATGTTAGAACGTACAAATTTGTAAAAAATAAAAATTAAAAAAAAAATAGTAATATTTTGAACAATGTAGTGTTTCGCCGTGCGAGACATGGCAACACTGCAGTCACTGCAGAACAGCTGATGCACACAGCACACAGCTAATTTCTACGTAATTTATTTTAAATCAAAATAAAATATAATGAATTGTTTCAAGAATAAATAATTATGAGTTACAAGAATTTATTCATTAACTTTCTTGAAAAAAAGATAAGTAAAGCAATATGTTCTAAATACTTGGATATATTTAAATCTTCCCGCCATTCAATTTCTCCCTCACAAAAGTTGCGCTGTTGCTACGTTCTCTGTGTCTCTCGTGTCATAGAAAAAATTACATCCAACTTTAATTTTTGGATTAAAAATACTCGGTAACTAAACAGTAAATTGTACAATACTTGAAGCATTATGATCCTTGAATTTCAAATTAATTTTGCTTTAATTTTGAGATGAATCCTTATTGAGCATAAAAAGTTATGAAGTAATATATATCGAGTTGTCAGTTTTTCGTTCGCAGCGGCCATAAGCACAATGCTAAGTAATAAGAAAAATAGTGAATTTCGGACGACAATATCTTGAAAACCGTACGATAAAAATTGCTCATATTTAACAATAATGTGCATTAATATGTTATTCAATTTTGCTGAAAGTTTTACACGATTCCGTACACTTTGTGATTTTGACCCTTCCACCTTAATTTTTGACTTTTGAAAAAAAAATTTTTTTTCAATGTACAATATTTATAAGTAGAATGTATAAAAGTTAACATACATATAATGATTTTTAAAGCTTTTTTGACGGGCTACACGCTGTTAATAAAATTTTTTTTTAAATAACATTTGACCTTGAAATTCAAGGTCAAAATGTTAATTTACGTTTATCTCAAAATCGGATTTTTTAAAATTATTTTTAACTCTCTCAATGGAAAGCTTGACTAATTTCCTACAAAACATGTAATTTTCAGAGTGGGATCTTTTAAAGTTTTTGAGATATTAATTAATTAATTAATTAATGTTTATAACAAATCAAATATTTCACAAACGAATAAAGTTACCGTAATTCTGAAGTTAGCAATTAAAACTTAACGTAATTCCGCATCCAACGAGCCCTATATGAAGTATTTTGGATAAGTAGATTGTTAATAAACAATTAGTTAACATTGCAATTGTTCATTAACAATCTACTTATCTTATTTCTTTTTTCAACGATTATTCGCCTGGATTTCTTACATGGTGTGCACATTGTGATTTGCGGTCCTTTTTTGATAATATCTTTTTTCATGACAAATTCTTCACAATTAGATGATCTAAAAAACAAATTTAATTATTTAAAAATAATTTATAATATATAATAAATAAAACAAACTTTTAAAAATCATCTTGTGCACACGGTAAAAATTTAGTTGCTTCGTTCAGGAAAACAACTATCTCCCTTACATTTCTGACGTAGTTAATATCTTGCATATTAATTTTACGGCTTTTAACAAAAAACTATAAAACAAATTCTTTAATATATTACAAAATATTTGGAATTTTTTAAAATTAAAAATTAACGTACTTTGAAAGACATATCGGCATACAATACAACTTTGTGTGAGGAGTACAAATAATCAGTCGACCAACAATTCCAAACAACAGTTTCATCATTATTGTTAACTCCCCAGTAACCAGAAGGTCGCGGCATTATATCACAAATTTGTAATATAATTTTGAAGTCATTTATATCAAATAAATGATCGTCAAAATTTACCCGCGCAGGAGGACACAACATTTCTTGATGTTTGGATTGTTGGTAAAAATTTTCGTACTTCTCAAGAAGAAGCGGAATAGCCTGTTCTTTCAAGGAAACTCTACAACTTTGCAAATATAAATTTGGCGAATCGATGGGGCTACAATGGTCAGCGTACTCCTGAACTATATCATCCTGATATAAGTGCAGGTCGCATTAAACATGCTTTCTTTCTAAGCCTTCTCCTCCTGAAATGGCTTTTCTCCACAGGTCCAACATTTTTGCTTAAAATTTTATAATTTTAATAATTTAACATATAATGCAACAAAAAAGTTTATTACTTTCAACTTACCGATGGATGAAAGAAACTTCTCTTTTGTTGAACGCCTTTCTTCATTCGGATAGCCGAAGATTTGTAACCTTTTATGAAGCAGGTTTTTCCCATGCTTCATTTAATTTTTTCTACGTTTAAAATCTAAAGGTTTTCACATTTGTTTTCACACAATTAAAAAAAAATGCAACTGTTAGGAAATATTTAATTAAAGAAAAAAAAATAATCCATGAAATTTATAAAAGATTATTTTATTTTATTATAATCTTATTGTTAGATTTCACATTTTCTTAAAGTTATTAGAAATATTTATTTAATTTTTTTTAGTAATTTAATTTTATTTTTTATTACTATTTCATTTTGTTTATTTTAATAATTTTACAATTTATTGTTTTAAATATTTATTAATGTAATTTAAATTATTTAATTTAATTTCATGTTTAATTAATTTAAAATTATTAAATGCTATTTAAGAAACGCAATGACGTCAATCATACTTCAGAAAAAAAATACAAAAAATAATTAATGAACAAGTCATATGTATATATTGAATCAATTTATTTATTGTATAGCTTACATATTTTTAACATTTCATCTCATATAATAATTGTAAATATAAAAAATTTTAAACTACTATACAGATTTTTAAAAATTAATACTACAATAACCTTACGAAATATTACACAAATTTAAAATATTATCTTACATTTTGGAGTTATTAGCCTATAATTATTTAATTTATTAATAAACTTTATTATTTGATTTATTTTTACTTTAATTTAATTTATTTTATTTAAAATTAATTTAATGTTTAATTAATTATAAATTTTATTTTAGGTTATCATTATTTTAATTTTTAAGTTACTTTATTTATTATACTCATTATTATATCTACAAATATTTATATATATTGTTATTAAATTAATGAAATGATTTTAAATATTTAAAAAACTTACATAAATTGCACTTTAGTAAAAAAACGCTCCAAAAGTAAATAAACAAACCACGTGTTTTTTTCATTAGTACGTGCTCGAAGCAGACAGATTTTTAAATTCATACACCATTCGTTTGCACAATTACCGCAAGTGGCGCTACTATTGCTTAGGGACTCAGAACATTACTCTTGCAAAAAAGAGACACACTTTCCGTTAGAACCATGTATAGGAAATCCACCTCCTTATTACTACTCCGTGAGTAAATGTAATAAACTGACCTTGTGACAATCTTTATTGGGAAAATATTTGAAGCATAATTAAAACCAGAATATTAAATAAAATATTATTTTATATGTAATAAATAATTATTGTCTGCTAATCTTGACATTATTTTTGTAGATAACAAAAATTCGGTGCAGAGGTTGTTGGAAGCGCTAATAACTTGTAATTCAACATCTGCATTGTGTAAGTGTTTCTTCCTTGATATTATTATTCTTATTCATAGTAAGTTTGTGAACCATTATATTTTGAATGACTGATCATGCAAATTATTAATAACTCACATCTGTGGATTAAAGAATCTGAGAATGCAATATTCATTTCAATATAGAACAGTCCCCAGTAAATTATCTACTTGATGGCAACATATCAGATACTTTTATTATTTACACAGTAGTAATATTTTAAAAACTTTATTTTGATAAAATCTTATAATATTTAGATTGTATATTTATTCAATTTTTTAAAGCAGGTAGTAGTGCCAAGATGCTTGAACTTAAGAAGGCTCTTATGGATCCTACGATTAAATTGGGAGGAGGGATTATATTATTGGTCGAGTCTCTTCTTCGAGTATCTGTACTAAAGCGCAATCAGGATAAAGAAATTTCACAACTGAAGCGACCTATTGTAAGATTAAAAGATATTCTTATAAACTTAACAAATTTTAATACTATCAAAATTTTACATTCTGAGATTAAAATGAGAGAAATTTACACATAATCCTTAAAATAAATGGGTTATATTATAAAGACCTTGTAACTATTACAAGAGAAGTGGTATTAATTTTTTAATTAAAATTAATAAAATATAGTAGTTAAAATTGTTCACCGCGCTTGCGGTGCACTTTTAGAATTTGTTCTAATTTTATGACATCGAGTAGATTATTTTTCCCATTTAAGCCAATAAATTGTGTATTGATTTTTTGTGAATCAACTACTAACTACAGAAAATTTATTCGATTTTATGACATAGTCGATAGATAAGCATGAGAGAAAAAAGGACAGAGATATTTTCTAACATTTTCTTTCTCATGCTTCTTTTTTAATTCTTGAATCTATTTTACTTAGACCCCATAGATTTTACTCATTAATAAATGAGAAAAATCTAAGAAAGTATTTATTTTATATTTTTATTTAATATTTCATTTTAACGATTCTTTCTTTCCTAAAGAAATAGTTTAGTTGACAAATTTAATTTATAGTACATTTTTCAATAAACAAATTTTTTTATTTCAACATTAAAGGTTTTTGTTATAAAATCGGTTTTATTTAAGAAACGTTGACTGCTTTTACAACAGAAAATTGTCTTCACAACCTATTTTTTTAGAGTGCTTGGTTGTAATAGGAATTTTTGTTTGTAACAGGGACGAAAAGAAAATCTGTCAGATTACTGACAGATTATGACTGATTATGTTTTCTGATTGAAACAAGTGAATTTGAATTTTGTACTATGAAGAGTAGTCTGACAGACTTTCATTTCGTTTACCGAACGTATCACAGTGCGCTTGAACTGGATTTAAATCAAAATCATTGCAAATCAAAATTTTTTTCTTGATGAGCAATTCCATGAGATGTGATCACAAGAATTTTTGATGATTGGAGCAATTTCATTGAAACCTTGTGAATATGTTCCTTTATTTGTACAGAATGAAAGCCCACAAACAATTTTTCAAAATTTTCAAAATTTTTTGAGATATCTCTAATTAAAAATTTATGTCATTTTTTCAAAAAAAACATGTAACTTTTTTTCTTGTCATCCAAATGAGATCGATTTTTTTTAAATTTCTCACAAAAAGATGCTATTTTAAGAAAAAAATAGTTCATGAAAAAAAAGAAATTTTTTTGCCCGGAAGAAATGCAAATAAAAATTTTAAATTCATTTTTTGAAAAAACTACCTCTTCGATTTCAAACATTTTTTTTCTACTTATTACCTATGATGTTAAGAATAACTTCTCTAATTTTCATAATGGGACAGCAAAAACTTTACGAGAAAAAAATTAAAACGTCCCGTGCGGCGCGACGGGACGCGTGCATCTTAGTTTTCACGTCCATTATATAGTATGAAAACTTGCAAATATCTCGAAAAGTACGAATTTTCGTAAAATATGTTCTAGACAAAAGTTGTTCCACACAAAAAGATCTACATCTTTGAAACCAAAAAATTGGGCCCGGGGCCCAATGTTGGGCCATACAATGAAAAAAATGTTTTTCTTAAATGTGACCACTAATTTTCAGTATCAAATTCGTAATCCCTATGAAATTTTGCGTTCAGACATGTTGTATAAGCACAGTAAACTTGGTTGTATCTTTTTCTACTGCAACGTTTTGATGCACATAAGTTATATCAAAAAGAGATCGTTTTGTGTATCATTTTCAGAAATGATCCACGAAACGGTCTCATTTTTTGATGCAAAAAATTTAATCAATTTATGTCAATCATGGCCGAATTGAATCGACTCAAAATTAAACGAATTTTTTTCAAATATTTTGGTAATAGTACAATTGCGGAGACCATTTCACTACTTAATTTGAAAATGAAAATAACAGAAAATCAAAGACAATGTGCAGTTCGATAATTAAAAAGTGACAGCTTATAAACATAACCTAAAATGCATGAGAAAAAATTTGTCGATAAAATCAATATAGCCGAGCTTTTTAGAAGGTAGATGGCATCACTTATCTATTTTCTTTCTTTAAATTTTTTCTGAATCGTTTTTATAAAAAGCAAAACTGCCATCTACCTTCTAAAAAGCTCGGCTATATTGATTTTATCGACAAATTTTTTCTCATGCATTTTAGGTTATGTTTATAAGCTGTCACTTTTTAATTATCGAATTGCACATTGTCTTTGATTTTCTGTTATTTTCATTTTCAAATTAAATAGTGAAATGGTCTCCGCAATTGTACTATTACCAAAATATCTGAAAAAAATTCCTTTAATTTTGAGTCGATTCAATTCGGCCATGATTGATATAAATTGATTAAATTTTTTGCATCAAAAAATGAGACCGTTTCGTGTATCATTTCTAAAAATGATACACAAAACGATCTCTTTTTGATATAACTTATGTGCATCAAAACGTTGCAAAGATTTGATGCAATTTTTGGTCTCAATTTGATACTTTTAGGAAAACTGTGAGTGCCCAAAATATAAGTCCCAATGTCTGGGATTGGGCCCAACATTTTTTGACAAACAAATAGATTTAAAAAAATCTCATCTTTGGGGGCCCATTGTAAGACCCACAGTAAAAAAATTAGTTTCCATCCATTTCGTAATCGTTATGAAATTCTGTGCTTAGACTTGTGGTACAAATTCTAAAAATATTGGACCCAATCCCAGACATTTGGCCCAATATTTTTGGCATTTGTACTACAAGTCTTAACCCAGAATTTCATAACGATTACGAAATGGATACTGAAAATTAGTGGGTTTTATTTAAGAAAACTAATTTCTTTACTGTGGGCCTCACAATGGGCCGTGGAATCTTACATTGGGCTCTGTGCCCAATTTGAAAATTATCTTCGAATTTCTAATCTTGTGACCCCAAAAACCCCCCAAGATAGGATTTTTTAAAATTTATTTGTTTGTCAAAAAATGTTGGGCCCAATTCCAGACATTGGAACTAATATTTTGGGCACTTATACAACATGTCTGAACGCAGAATTTCATAGGGATTACGAATTTGATACTGAAAATTAGTGGTCACATTTAAGAAAAACATTTTTTTCATTGTATGGCCCAACATTGGGCCCCGGGCCCAATTTTTTGGTTTCAAAGATGTAGATCTTTTTGTGTGGAACAACTTTTGTCTAGAACATATTTTACGAAAATTCGTACTTTTCGAGATATTTGCAAATTTTCATACTATATAATGGACGTGAAAACTAAGATGCGCGCGTCCCGTCGCGCCGCACGGGACGTTTTAATTTTTTTCTCGCAAAGTTCTTCCTGTCCCATTATGAAAATTAGAGAAGTTATTCTTAACATCATAGGCAATAAGTAGAAAAAAAATGTTTGAAATCGAAGAGGTAGTTTTTTCAAAAAATGTATTTAAAATTTTTATTTGCATTTCTTCCGGGCAAAAAAATTTCTTTTTTTTCATGAACTATTTTTTTCTTAAAATAGCATCTTTTTGTGAGAAATTTGAAAAAAATTGATCTCATTTGGATAACAAGGAAAAAAGTTACATGTTTTTTTTGAAAAAATGACATAAATTTTTAATTAGAGATATCTCAAAAAATTTTGAAAATTTTGAAAAATTGATTGTGGGCTTTCATTCTGTACAAATAAAGGAACATATTCACAAGGTTTCAATAAAATTGCTCCAATCATCAAAAATTCTTGTGATCAAATCCCATGGAATTGCTCTGATTTTGAATCAGTAGTGTTCCTTGATTAAACAAATCCAAGAATTAAAATAATCCGCGGAGGACTGTTCGAAAAAAGTGACATATTAATATGTTAAATTTTATTGCTTTTACTGTGCAAAAATCTTAGCTGGAGACAACACTGCTTATACCTTAGTTAGTGATATGTAAAAAAATGCAAATTAATTTAAGATGACTAAACTTAGAAAATCCGTAAAGTGAGAAATACAGAAACTTAAGGAAATTACTATATTTATTTTCGGAAATGATTATGAATATTTCCTCTAATATATATATGTTTAAAACATGTATGCTATTATAACTTTATACATCACGCAAAAGCCTTTTAAAATAAAACTTCCCAGGTAGTTTTCAAATCAAAGTGCTGATGAAAAGCATCTAGATTATCGGGTCAAAATTTTTCAAAAAAAATCTATGTTGGTCGTGGGTCCTTCAATTTTTATGAAACTTGGTGTATATGAGGCACTCTATCTCAAACCGTTCTACCTTCAAAACTTTAATTGTAATAAATTAAAAAAAATGTTAAGACCAATCGAAAGGTCAGTAAATTCTCTTTCGAAATAGTGTGTAACATTACATAAATCTTTTATTTTTATATAAAAAAATTAATTTAAAAAACGCTCTACTAGCGATTGTCTTTTGAAGGTGGAACGGTTTGAGATAGAATGCCTCATATGTAGTATTATACAAAAAAGAAAGTAGGAAAACAAATTTTTCTAAAATTTTCAAAATTTCAGATTTTACCGGGAACTAAAGTTTTAAGTACTTAAAAAATAGCTGTGAAGTATTTTAATAGCTTTTGTTCATATTGTAGGGAATAATAGTTAAAGTACCAACGATTAAAAGCATTATAGGAAAAAAAATTTCACAATATGCTTAAAAAAGTCAATAAAACTTTGATATTACTTTGTCGACCAAAAGCGGCGTACGCTTTGCGAAATTAGGCGTCGTATGTCTTGCAGTCTCAGTTCACTTTATTTGGTTTAATCGTTACATCATTTCAGTTAATTGTAGTAATTATTAACAACAAAACAAGTTTTGAAATTAATAATTGAGGCATTCTTTTTCAAACCGTTCCACCTTCAAAAGACGATCGCTAGCAGAGCGTTTTTTAAGTGATTTTTATGATATCAAAAAGAAATGATTCATTTAATGTTATACACTATTTCGAAAGAGAATTTAATGATCTTTCGATTGGTCTTAACATTTTTTTAAATTTCTCACAATTTCATAAAGAA